TCATGTGTATAGTATGCTATCTTTTCTATAATAGGAGGTTTTAATAAGACTTTATATTCATATTTGCTTATACATTTAAAAACTTGGCCAGGCACAGTGGCTCATATCTGTAATCCCAGCATTTTGGCAGGCCAAGACCAGTGGATCACTTGAGCCCAAGAGTTTGAGACCAGCCTGTGCAACATGACAAAACCCCATATCTACAAAAAAAAAAAAACAAAGCAAAACAAAAAATATAAAAAAATAGCCCGGCCTGGTGGTGTGCACCTGTAGTCCCAGCTACTCAGGAGGTTGAGGCTGGAGGATGACTTGAGCCCAGGAGTTCCAAGCTGCAGTGATCCGTGATTGCACCACTGCACTCCAGCCTGGGTAACCGAGTGAGACACTTTCAGAAATAACACACACCAAAAACAAAACAAAACAAAACAAAATCCGATTCTAGAAGGATATATAACAAAAGTGATGACCTTCAATAAAAGGTAGCAGGCAAGTGGCAGTGAGTAGTGGGAGCAAGACTTTCCCTCACAGAGTTTTATACTTTCAACTTCCACCTCTTTGAATGCTTTACCCAATCAAAAATATAAAAGAAGGACATAAATATTAGTAGAAGGCAAGGGAGTGAGAAGGAGGAAGAGCAAGCAGGGAGAGAGGCGGAATCCCAGCCAGGATCTAGCTGCCTCCAGTCAGTCACATCACATGCCCTTGAATCCAAGGCTGACAAATTTAGATTCTGCTGCAAGAGAAGGACACGCTTTAAAAATCCCACAAGCTCTCATGCTCTGGCATAGATGCCAAGTCTCGCAGGTCGGGTGAGATGGGCACAAATGTTCTTGGTTCTCCTGTGTCAGTTAAGAGGCCAGTTTTCTCCTGGGACACTGGTCAGTAACTGCAGGTGTTTCCAACCTCAGAGGCTCAGCTCTGGAGATAAATATCAAGCCTGTGCACTGCTCCGTGGACTACCATATAAATTACCATTCTTAGGGTAGATGGTTCTCAAGGTTAATCTCAAGGTTTGCTAGGTAGTCAACACTTTGGAGCCCCCTTTCCTAAGCTCAACAGTGGCCCCTCAGAAGACTCTCCTCCAGCTTGTAAGCTGCAAGGAAAATGGTACAACTACTTTGGAGCTGTATTGAGTAAAAATATGCTACACACAAGCCCTGCAACCCTGCAAGCCCACCCCTGCACCTACATAACCCCGTCAGGTGCATCAGAAGACATGATGAAGAATTTTCTTTGTAGCGTTGTTTGCAATAGCAAAACAAAACAAAAAAAAAAACCACAACTGAAAATGACCTAGACGTCCTTCTACAGGACATTGGATACATAAAATGTGGTACAGTGTGTTCAAACAATGGAATTTCACAGCAGTGGAAATGAATAAACTGAAGCCACATATATCAGCTGGGTGAATCTCAGAAGCCTGTGGAAGATGCAAAGCAAGCTGCAGAAGACATCACAAAACACTTACATAAAGTTCAAAACAAAACAAAACTGAAGGGTTGTCTTCACACATGTTTATCAGAAACGCGTGGTGAAGACAACCAAAAACATAGCAAGGGAATGATGAAACTGGGATTTAGATAGCGGTCACCTTGGAGTGGGGGTGGTAGGGAAACGGGAGAATGTAGTAGGGGTGAGGCACACACCATGACAGGCCTTATTGGAAATGGTTTATTCCTTGATCACTGTCAGTCATTTTATTATCGTACTTTTGATCTTAGTTGTGCATTAACACATACTCTTTTTTTGTTTGTTTTTTTCCGAGACGGAGTCTTGCTCTGTCGCTGAGGCTGGAGTGCAGTGGTGCGACCTTGGCTCACTGCAACCTCCGCCTCCTGGGTTCAAGCGATTCTCCTGCCTCAGCCTCCCGAGTAGCTGGGATTACAGGCATGTGCCACCATGCCTG